AGGTAGTCTTCGCTTAATGACCACAATAGGGACCAGAAAATTGGTTGTTAAGTGAATCAGACCTGATTTTATGACCTTTTTTGCAGCAGTTGTTAAGTGAATCACCATGATCATTAAGAGAATCACCACAGTTGTTAAGTGAATCCAGCAGTTCCCCATTGACTTTGCTTGTTGGAAGCCCCCTGGGAAGGTCACAAATGGCGATCATGTGACCCCGGGACTCTGCAACTGTTGTAAGTGTGAGCTGGTTGCCAAGGGCCTGAATTTTGATCACATGACCACAGGGACACTGCAACAGTCATAAGTCACTTTTTTAGCACCTTCATGACTTCGAATGGTCACTAAACGAATGGCTGTACTGGAATTAAACTTAGAAAGTGGGAAATACTACTTGGGAGTGGTGGGGAGGAGAAAGGAGTTGTTTTTCAGGCATTTAGATGCAGAAGACAGTTGTTTTGGCCAGGAGTCATGTATTAGCCCCAGTAAATACATTAATTAAAAAGCAGAGCAAAAATTAGCAAGGAAAATGTCCTGTGATCAATGACAAAAGGAAGCAGGAAGAGTTTGGCTAGGTTTAGGGAACAAAGCGGCCTGGTTACCACTTCCAAGGACAAGTTGAAACAGTCCGTTACCTTTATTCTGGGCTGGGTTGTCAATGTTGAAATTCCCATTCCACACCACCGTCAGATCCACCGGCAGGCTGTTAATCTCCATCCCGTCATATGAATACTAAACAGTGAAGGGAGCAAAACATACATCACACACCTGTTGCTCCTGGATGTAACCGTATGCAAACTGAGGGAAAAAAAACAGCTGCCACTGGGGCGCCCATTTTGATTTTGATTTTGATTTTTTTTCAACTCCAAAAGCCGTGGGAAAGACAGGATGTTAACGGGCATCCCTGCGACTGAGAATTTCGTTTCTCGGGGTTTCTGCAGGATTTCCTGGGCGGTTTCGCAGCCGAGCTCTGCATTTTGCCCACCCCATTTAAACCAGGCAGCTTTTCGAAAACAACCCATGGGCTTTCGAGATGAAGATTTAAAAGTAGCAAGCCGAAGGGGGTAAACGCTCTTTTACACAATCGATTAAACACAAACTTATTTGGAACTGTTGGCAAGTGTTTCCAGGGATTCTGTGATGCTCAAGATAGATCTGTATTCGTCATGCATCAAATCTCTCCGGAAAAAGGCATGAAATAAGCTTTTCTAAAAGCACTTTAGATGTGGACTGCCAAAATCACACCTCCGTATATCTCCTCCATGATTTGGGGGTTGGAAATGAAAGACACAGGAGGAATGAAGATGGCAGAGAAAATCTGGGGTCTTATCTGAAGATAAGAGGACAGTTTTCTGAGTTCCCCACTGTCCCTTCTCCCCCCACCCCACCCCCCGCAAGCATACAGGGGACCAGTGTAGGCTGTGAAAATTGTGGACAGCAGAGTTTGCTGATCACACAATGCTCCCAAGAAAGGTCATGGAGGTAAACCATCAAATGGTACAAACAAACAAACATATGGTAGGGAGTTGTGATTTGGGGGGCTTTTGCTACATCATCAACTCTAGAGAACTCTAGAATTCTCTATACTTTATGGCCGCGTTCACACGTTTCACCCGGTTATTGAATGAACCCACTTTAACCCTAAGTGAACCAACGGATCGGGTTCAGGCAACCTGCTGAGATGTCCAACCACAAGCAAAAGACCAAGGTAAAAATCTAATCAAATTACGGCCCTTTGTGCAAATGCCGTCATTAGATTTTTAACTGCCAAGATTAAGGGCGTTGTGCAAAGACAGCTATGGAAAACTAGTAGAGTTTTCTGCCCCTCCCAAATTATTTTGGCGGTGATAGAAAGCAGCAAGATAACTGGCAATGCACCAGAGTTGAGCTTGCTCACCACGGAGAATCTTACTAGCTTCAGATATTGGCTCGGCCGTTGTCCATAGCTTTTGTCAGCTTCCACAAGGATTAGAAACTTGATTTTGAATTATGAATTCTCAAGGAGCTAAATACAATGTCTAAAATGTTCCTAAGGGTAGGCAGTCTCTGTTCTGCTTAGTTTCTCTTTTCCAGTGTTTTGCAAATTTGGAAGGGAAAAAAAACGTTGCAATTTGGGATTTATTTGGTAAAAAAAACCATTTTTGTACTGTACTGGGTATGTTTCATAACATTTGGGGAAAATGATCATTTACAGGGCTTGGACAAAGCTTTGAAGCAAGTTTCCTGTTGTTCATAAATGTGGGTTGGGAAACCAAATTGAATCCTGTCTCCCCCAGTCAAATCACCACAGTCTTTCATGTGCAAGATTCAGGAAGCAAA